AACAATTGACAACTTGAAGGAAATTGATATCTTGCAAAGAAAGTCATCCACGATATCTTGAAAGTTATTGACAAGAGGCTTTATAAAAAACTTAGGAGTTAATCAACAAAGCCATTGACCTGGAGCACTTGACACAAAAACGTAAGTGTTGAGTGGTTATATTTATTACCTCTATTATACGTTTTTTGCAATTTCTTGTGGATGATTGTTGTTGAAAAACTTCTTTGTAGATAAGTGTTGTGCAAAGTAACTTCTCGTAACCGTAGATAAGATTAGAAAGCTAATTGTTTATTTGAATTCAAAAATATTGTTTATAACTTTCGTTAGTGGGCTATAAATACTCACGTTGTACTTTTATATTTTGTTCTCTATTTTATATCACTAGTAACTATTGTCCCCTCATACTTTCCATTTTCTTATTATTTACATTCCTGTCTAAAAACAACAAATGGCCCTTTACAACCTGTGCTGATTTGCTTGTTGATCCGTCCATATTCTTGAATGATATTTCCTCATTTTGGTGAAACAAGATTCAATGTACTTTTGATTTAGGATTTTTATCACTTTTTTAATTAGAAAATGATGCCATTATTGTCTGCAATGGACTTGTAATGGAATTTACAGGAGAAAAGGTTCAGGCTGCAACAATCTTTTGCATTTACTTTATCATATAGAGAAACGATTAGTCATACAAATTTACCTCAAACTAATTTTTTGACCACCAAAAATCCCAAACTAGTACACCTATGATAAATTTACCCTCTGTTAGTTTCCATTAAATTTTTTTGTTAAATTACTAAGTTGGATGACTCGTAACAGTTGATGAGTGTACTAGTTTGGAATTTTACCATCCGTTTATCACATGTGTAGTAATTTGTGGTTTTTCGTGGTATTTCGAGGTATTAATCTAATTTAATAGAAATTAACAGATGATAAATTTATCACAACTGTATCAGTTTGGAGATTTAGATGGTCCAAAAAATTAGTTTAGGATAAATTTATCACAAGTGTACCAGTTTGAGGTTTTTGATGATGATTAAATATTTAATTTGGGTAAATTTGTCACAAGTGTATCAGTTTGTGATTTTTCGTAATATTAATCCTTAGTAATAATACTCTGTGTTTTTAGATATCAAATCTTATTCTCATAAGGATTCCTAATTTAATAAGGAAACCGATCCTTATCTAATAGCCGAGTAGATTAGGATTCTTAACTAACAAATTCCATATCTTTCATGGAATAATTTGGATATTATCCCTAAAAGGAAAAAAATGGTAATTTATTTGAACTATTGTTGTTTTGGCCACGAAATATTCGATCACTTTTTGTTACTTCTTTTCATCGCTCTATAAATCTTTTTCGTTCTCTCACGTACGGGTGGATATCACATATAAGGAGTTCCTTTTATATACAGGCGAACCTTCATCGTCCCTTGTATCGAAGTCGAAACCCTAGTCTCATTATAGGGATGAGGGTTTTTGGGTGAACGCTCGCTCCTTCTGTCCAAGGATCGCCCTGCAATCCGCTCGAACGGCATTGATTGTTCGCTGAGAAAGCCTTCGCTTCATGTCACGTCAAGATCGATCTTTTCTATCATCATCATCATTATAGACGAGGAGACTATCTGCAAACTTGAAAAGGTATGTCTACGATTCACTTTTGGCCATTTATTAGATGATTATGCGCTAGATCTAGCATAAGCAAACAAAAGAACATGGATCTGGAACATCACATATTTGAAGAGCGGTTTCCAGCCATTGTAGAGGTGACCGGCGGACTTGCATAATTGGGGTTTAGGCAGTACAACAATGGGATTTTTTGGGTTAGATCCATTGGAAATCTAAAAAGTCATGTCAAAGCAATGATTCAATTTAGAACTAGAAATTTTCAATTAAGTTAAATCTCTAATTAATTTTTTTTATAAGTGAAAATTTCTTGTTGAAACTAATAATACAATCTAAAAGGGATGAATATGGTGATTTGACAAGTTTTCAAGCAATAACTCAAGTTAAACTTGATAGATATAGGCACAGTTTAATAATAGAATATGTAAATACTTCTATCAAACAAATAATGAGATGAATAAAGAGACAACTAGTTCACTCTGTTAGACTAACAGTCACCAAAAAGGTCCACCAATAATTTCAAGAGGTGTTATGTTACTGATAGATGATATTATCAATACACAAGCATATCTAACAATACTGTTAATTCTCTCTTCCCAAATTATAGATAGAAGCGATCTTCATAGATAATATAATCAGAAAAGCATAGCTTCTATCAACCAGAATAGAGCAAAGATGAGAACCCGAACCATTAGACTAATTTTGTTCATTTCCCCAACTATACTACTTCCCCTGGATTGAATTTATAGCTATTAAACCTCACATTATCGCTTGAAACTCAAATACAAGTAGCGTTGGTTCCGTCATTAATTTACTTAGAGTCTGCCATTTCTGTTGCCTGTTCACATATGGTAAAACTACTATGATATCTCCAGTCCACTTTGGCCCCGTTTGGTTCAGCTTTGGGAAGGGGCTTTCGGGCTCGAAAGCCCCTTCCCAAAATGCTGAACCGTTTGGTTTAGCATTTGGGGAACGGAAAGCCGAAAGTTAGCATTTGGGATGCTGAAGCCTATTTTTCCCTTCCCAAATTGCCCTCACTCAAATTTCTTTATTCCGGTTTTGCCCCTGTTACTGTTCATCTTCTTCACCGCGAGGGCGGATCTAGCCGGCGAAGGGCCGGCGAGGTCGCTCGACCCAGGCGACAGCCGCCTGGGATCGGGCAACCGCCCAGGCGCCGTCGCTCGGGTCGCGCGACCTCGGGCGCCGTCGCCGGGTCGCGCGACCTCGGCGCGCCGTCGGCCTTGGTCGTGACCCGGGCGACGGCCGCTGGGGTCGCGCGACCTAGGCGACATTGGCCTGGGGTCGCGCGACGTCGGCTGGGTCGCACGACCCGGGCGGCCGTCGCCCGGGGTCGCGCGACCTCGGGCGGCCGTCGCCCGGGTTGCGCGACCCAGGCGACGGCGCTGGGCGTCGCCGACCCGGCGACCGTCGCATGGGCGGTCGCCCGACCCCAGGCGGCCGTCGCCTGGGTCGGGCGACCTCGCCGGCCATCCTCGCCGGTGAAGAAGATGAACAGTAATAGGAGCAAAACTGGAATATTAAAACTAAAAATTGCCAAAGCGCTTTGCAAAAAAAAATTTACCAAACACCACTTAGGCCAAAATAGCTTCACAAATTTTTTTTTACCAAACACCACTTATATTTCCCCAAGTGGCTTTCACCTAAAGGTATTTGCATTCCTCCAAGTTGCATTTGAAAAGCCGAACCAAACGGGTCCTTTGTGCAAGTCCACTTTTTGCGAATCCCAAAGCTTGTAACGACCTATTAGACACCATTTTGAATTCAAATCAAATTGGAAAGAGGTTTGGGTCCTCTCATCCAAGTGGTAGAAGAACGTTACATGTCATCCACCTCGTTTGATTGAAGGAGCTGCTTCTGCCAACGGTCCCTCCAGTCTATTTACGTTTCACACTATAACTCACTGTTCACCTTTTACTCACTTGTCCTTCTAAGCAGACTCACTTTTTATTTTTTTGGGGTTCTACTTAACTGTTCACCTTCTACTTAGGTCCATCTTAGTCACCACGAACTCCTCATTCTATCATACCCGCTTACCTTCTACTCAGGTCCATTAAGTTTTACCGAACCCCTCGTTTTGGGCTTGTTCGCCTTCTTTCATGTCCATCCAACTTATAGACACATCGGGCTAATACCTTGTTCACCCTTAGTAGAGGTAGAGCGCTCCAATCCTTTAGAGGATCCTTTTGAACACTATCCACAAATGAATATGTGCATGTAGAGATAGTATCTGCTGCACACTCGATTACACATGTTAGTATACTACGAATGTTTTTTTATTTTCAAAACACTATAGGCATTTTTCTTAAAAATTTTGATACAACAATAACACAATTAGATCACGACACAAAGTCAATGAGTAGTGGGTTGAGATTGATTGTGTTTGGCTTAATTTGTATCAACTTGTGAGACACGAGAGATAATCATGTCGTGTTCGTGTCAAGTCCACCATATACGAAATCAACCCATATAACCCGTTTAAATTAGCGGATTAGTGTTAACTCAATCGGTATGTGATCCGTTTAGATATGATTAGGTAAAAGATTTTACTTTTCATGTTATGCATTATTGTGATTTTAAATTGATGGGTCAATGTCACCGGCAGTGATTGAACTTTTGCCCGAAAGTCAAAACCATCTATTTACTTTCTTTTGTTGAAAAGACGTCAATGTACCACTGTTAGTCCTTCCGTATGCTTTGTTTTTATTGTCAGTCGGTTTTGCTAAGGTGGACTGTCAAGTTACTGATATGGGACGTTAGAGTAAACGTGTCATGTTAGGATATCTTAAAAGTTATTATTTTGGAGCCACATAGGTGCAAAATCAGCAACACAAAATATAGATAAATCAATGGAACCCCAACCCTAAGTCAATTGCTGACCAAAAAAAAAAAAAAAAAAACCCTAAGTCAATTTAACTTATTTTATGTGGTTTGCTAGAGAAATTTTCACAATATAGAAGTAACGTCATTCAGCAACTCAACTGTCCCAACGAGAGAGAGACATTTGTCTTACCCAACACTTTGCCACATAAGATAACCTTACCATAAATGTGCAATGTGTTATCAATCATAAAGTTGTTGAACCAAACCCTCCAATAGTTTTATAACTTATAATATCCTTTTTCTTTCATTTTGCACATAAATCTTAGTACTTCCATTACCATATCGAGGACTCAATTCAAATAAATTAAAAAGTCAAGAAATCAATGGACGGATGGCCAAAACATTAAGGATTGATTTGGAACTTATCCCCATATTATTTTTTTATGATAAAATACTATTAGTATTCACCACTTAAATTTTGGTACTAAAACTTGCACTAATTTTTTTTTTCAGATTTCTCAGACAAATCGAAGTCTCAAACCGGACACTGCACCATCAAGTTTCCCTTTGCTTCTAACATGTCTACTCTCCGCCGGACAGAACAACTACTACTCCAGGTATGTGTTTAACGATCAAGTTGTTGGCTTGATTATAAAGTTGAAGCTTTGAATCTTAAGGCTCACCGATATCCCTTAGCTTATATTGTTTTTCTGGTAAAGATTATATATGGTATCAATGCGGCCATTTATTGACGCCACATAAGTAAAACATTAAATATAAAACAAGTTGATGGTGACGGTGATAGGGCATTGAAAATGGTGCAAAATAGCTTGGAGCATTAGCCAGTGTAACTGAACGGGTAGTGATCGGTGGTTGAAGCATCAAACAGTACTGATGATTGTGGTGTTAGTGGTCACAAGTAGGGGTGAGCAAGGTTCCAAGGTAGAACTCGGAACCTGAGAACCTGACTGGTCGGCACTTGTAGGCTTCAGGTTTCAAGGTATGCAGGATAGATTCTAGGTTTCAAAAATTGAGGAACCTATTTCGACGGATAGGTTCAGATTTTAGGTAGGCGGAACTTGGAACCTGAACCTGAAATCTAAATAAGTTTTTTTTATGTTTTTTCTTGGTCTATGTTTTCACTGATCTTGCTATGTTTCATGGCGTTAGATGATGGTTGTATAATCTCGAACCACTAATTTGAGCTTTCATTTTATCACTTGTTAATATTTCATATTCTTAGTGTGTCTAAATATAAGTTGTGGTCAGTGGATCATAACAGTAAATGGTGGTCATTAAAGGTGATGATTTACTGCAATTATTTAATTAATAATACAGATAAAACCTGGGTAGAACTTGAAACCGACCCTGCAACTGTGATATGATAGGTTTCAAGTTCTAAAAAATGAAGAACTTATTCTCTTGGGCAAGTTCCAAGTGGAACTTATACGGAACATGGAATCGCTCACTCCTAGTATCGATTCAGGCAATGACTTCTCAGTTTAATTGTATTTATTTGAACCGTAATGTCAAGAAAACTAGTCTTTTGTATTTTCTTTGGTGAATGACAAGCTTGTTCAGTATTGTTGTGTTCATTTTCGTTTTGTTTAACTAAAAATAAAAATAAAAACTATTAGACCCTGGAACCTACCCTAGAATCTGTGATAGGGTAAGTTCTAGATTTCAAGTTTCGATGGATAGGTTGCAGGTTCCAAAAAATGAGTAACTTATATCCGTGAATAGATTCTAGATTCTAGGTTTTCACCTGTAAGAACCTGCTCACTTCTAATCACAGGTGGCGCAAAGAGACCAACCTCCAAAGGAGGTATTGATTGTCAATCTATGAAGGTAACGATAACGAGGGTCATTTCTCGGGAAAAATATTGTGTAGAAAAGATTTGCCAAGTTTGGAATAAAATACTATTCGATTGACAGGTGTCCGGTGGAGCCTACAGTTCGGATTTTTCAAAAATCCCTTAATCATTTACCTTTTCTCTTCCATTAAACATCCTCCGCCTTGGCTCTCTCCTCCGTCTCTCTTCTCCATTTTCACTCCCTCACTAAAGCTAGTTGTCCCTATGGGGCGTTGTTTCTCATCGTGAAATGGACGAGGGATGGTGGGAGCGATTGTGGGATTTCGCCAAAGATTGCGTTGTCGCTCATGTCGCCAAAGATTGCGTTGTCGCTCATGTCCAGGTAGAGCAGGCTGCCGAGCAAGCTACGCGCCGCCGGTGAGCTTGTTGGACTGGACCTTGAGCCAGGTCAAACTCGAGAGGGCGCCAAGGCTAGTGGGATCGAGCCCTCGAGCACATTGCTATCCAAGTAGAGCTCCCCGAAGTTGGAGAAGGAGGAGATTGAGTCAGGGATTGAGCCGGAGAGCGAGTTGCTGGACAGGTCGAGTTGGATAGGTTGGAGAGAAAGCCGGGGACGGATCCGATGAAGTAGTTGCCCGAGAGATGGTCTGGAGGTAAGGGAGGTTCCAGGAGACGGAGGCGAGGGAGCCCGAGTAGCCGGCCTGGTCGAGGGCGAGTTCGGTGAATCGGCTCGCACCCGAGTCGTCGATGGTGTTGCAGCAGAAGCTGCAGGTGAACTTGTCGCTAAAGAGGATGTCGCAGAGGAGAGTGACAGAGAAGAGAGTAATAGAGGGGGTAGACAAAGTGGGGGTCTTCATGGAAGAGAGAAAGTGAGTGAGAAAGGGATTTCTGAAAAATTTGAGATGTGGGTCCCATTGGACACGTGTCGATCAATGAATGAGGTGTTTTATTGCTGACTTGGCAAATTTATTATAAGCAGTATTTCTCCATCTCTTGACAGGCTACAACCTAGACATGGCCATGGGCCGGTTTTGGCCCGGAACCGGCCCCGGTCAAACCCAGGACCGGCCCGTCGACTGGGCCCGCGGTTCGGAACCGGAACCAGCCCGTGGCCTACGGGCCCGGTTCCGATTCCAACAATTTTGGAACCGGCCCGGAACTGCCGGTTCCGGGCCCAGTTCCAAAAAAAAAAAATTCATTCTTTCTCTTTTTTTTCCCCAAATTTGATTACAATGTACATTTTGATTACATTTTATATTGAATAATTTATTATTTCATAATTTGATAATTTATTATTTTTTATTTCATAATTTATTTTTTAAATTTTTACCAGCCCGTTCCGAACCGGGCCGAAACCGGAACCGGCCCGGAACCGCCGGTTCATACATGGCCACGAACCGGAACTGCCGGTTCCGAACCGTGGCCATGTCTACTACAACCCCACACCGATGAAGAACTACCTACTATAAATGGTCAAGCATGATCACGGTGATAGCAATAAAGTACAGGGCACGTACCACAAAAAATCTCAAATTGGTATATTCGTGCCATATTTACATAAAATTAATTTTTGTGTCCGACAAACTACCAAACTGATATACTCGTGCCAAATTAGTTATGGGTAAATATGACACTGATGTATTAGTTCAAAAAATTATTTAGAGTAAATGTAGCATTAATGTACTAGTTTGGGTGTTTTTTATTATTTCAATTATGCTATTGGCTATGTAACTATACATGTACTTTTTTATACTTTGACTAAATTTGAATCATAGCTATAAATTAACTTCTATATTGTTGATAAAAATTTGTGTATTAAATTGTAATATCTTGATATATATATATATGGGGTGCTACACTTATGATTAGATAAAAAAAATGATAATTACATTAATAAAATATTTATTTTAACATATTCATGTACTTAACTTTTAACTGTAGTCATGAATGAATCATTAAAATACAAATAATTTTTTGATATGATAAATTCTAATGTACGAAAATATTTTTGGGATATCAAACCCATGCATCGTGATTAACTAGCAAAGTTTGATAACTATTATTTCCCATCTAATTCTGATTTCAGGGGTATTTTGAGAATTTTAATGTTACTCCCATTCATTATATATTTTATTCATGTAACCAAATAGTGCAATAGTTACTTAGCTCTAAAATTTTGTTAGATGAACCGACCAATAGAAGGCCGGGAGGAAATTTGCCTCTTAGATTGGAAACTTGGCTATAATTATATCCACATGTGGTTGCTGCTTATTTACATTTTTATCCAGCTTAGACATTTATTAAATTCTTTTTGTAAACAAAAGTTTGTTTTGAACGAGATTGTAAACAAAAGTTGACATACGAATCTTCTCCATCCATCTTCAGAAGAAACGAAAACTTGACCAATCCATAGAAAGTGGAGAGTCTTCAGTAGACCATGGACAGGCACTAGAGAAAAACATTCACCTCGATGTCAAGAAATTGGTTACTACTCTTTCCTGTGTAACCAATTTTGCTGACATTATTGGTGACAGTTTGGGTGAGCAAACTGTCCACAACTCATGCATTTCATCAACTGGTGTGTCCACCAGCATAGAAGGCCATGAAGAAAAGCAAACTAACTCTTACTCTGCTCCCTCAACTGTGGACCTTGTTTCTCCATCAGTTGTCATGGATGGATCAGTGCATGATGGCTCACACTCGTGGAGTCAGCAAGACATGGCTTCCCGAAATCAACCTCCGGAGGATCCTAGCGATGAGGCGGACGGTTCGGACTTTTCAGATGCGGATGAGGAGTCAAATGTAACGATCAGAAGGCGAGTGTTCTCTCTATTGTACTTAGACGACGAGTACCCTCCAAGACCCATGGTGCCAATCGGCCCCGCATTCCAGGCGGAAATCCCCATATGGGCTGGCACGTGCACCAAAAACAATCACAATACTTTGGAAAGCACTAAATATATAGGCACCCGCGTTTGGCCTGTCGAAGACGGCATCAATGAACCCCTACTGGGAAGCAATGGACAAGGAAGGCATGAGCTTTGCTCTTGTAAGTCAGCAGGATCAGCTAACTGCATGAAAAGGCATGTGTATGAATCCACATTGAACTTCAAGCTTGATCTCGGCCGGCTTTGTGGACTTGGAAGTTCGATGGAATGGGAGGGGAAGTCTCGAGGACATGGACAATGAGAGAAGAAAATCGGTTCAAGATGCTCATGAAACAAATCCTCTGGTGAACCAGGCAAGCTTCTGGGACAAAGCGTCGAAGTGCATTCCGACCAAGAGCAAGGACAGCATCTTGAGCTACTATTACAATGTGTTCGTCCCCAAACGAATTACCATGCAGTTGAGGTCGTCGACCGAGCAAATTAATAGTGACGAGGCTGAGTCCGAGGAATGATGGGAAAATTTGAAGTTTGTGAGTTCATCGAGATCTCATTATTTCCATTGGTTCTTCTATATAATTGTGCCAGTACTCTGCATTTAGACGTTATTTATTTGTTCCGTACGTTCCATTTTGTGGGTAGTTCATTATGTTATGATTTGCGGTTGATCATTGATGGGGACATTTGCATCATTGATAATTAACCAATTGATGGGAATTTATAGTCGTTGCATCTATGCTATGAGTGTGATGGGCCACGCACGCTGCCGTGATATGAACATTTTGTGTTGCTATTAGATTGGAGGATGAGTGACTCTATCATTTGATGATAACAATCCTAGTTAGGGGTTACTACCGGGTCCAATTAATCTGTAAATCGAACCAAGCCAGTATGGATCGATCAGTTCAAGACGGGTTCTAGAATGAATCGGTTCGGTTCTGCAAACCTAGAATCAGCCCAAGGCCTGTTCAATTCTTGATTTTATGGTTGAAACCACCAGTTCTATTTGGGAACCGGTTCAAACAATCCGGGTCACGGTTGAACTAGTTCTAAACTAGTTTTGAAACCTCTTTTAGGAAAAAAAAGGTTTTTTGTACCCATAAACAATCGAACCATGATTTTCAACATGAACAGACAACATTATAACAACTTGACCAACAAATACATTTGTGATCAAATGGTGCAATTTTTATATTTTATTATAAGAATTTTGCTCAAAATATAAAATGTGCCGGTTAGGAACTAGTGGTTTCATAACCAACCGGTTCTATTTGCGGTTACAATCTTTTAGAACTTGGGGTCACAATGTAGGTTCTTAGTTTAGGCCGTGAACTGACTCACCATGGATCTGGTCACCTCTAATTCTAGATGAATAATTGATGTGATGTATCAAGTGGGAGAGATTGGTTCCAGGATGAGTAGGCTCTAGACAAAAAGCTGGATCCTATGTTATCGTAGTCGATCCCAATTTTTGGAATTGGCAATTGAACTCGTTCTCTTAGGAACTAGCTTAGAAGCAAACCAGCTGGTTTCAAGCCAGTTTTGTTTCGGGAACTGAGCTATGTGCACAACACAACAATAACATTTACATCAGTCTTGGGCTCTTTGCTACAAAAAATCTAAAAAACAAGCTATATGAAAGTCTTGATAAATATACGTTAGAAGTAAAATAAATAATTAAAACACAATGTAGGTAGCTTGAATTGTAAAGGGTTGTGCTTTTTCCACTCCTCCTTTGGCTTAGACTCTCCCTTTTTTATGTTTTGACCATACCATCTCTTGTGGAGTCCACCACTTATGGTACAACTCTACAAAAGTGATTTTTTTTATTATTTGGTCAAATATTTTTATTTTGTTTCATTTTTTTTCGCGGGTCCCACTTTCCTTTTTCTTTCTTTCTTTCCATGCCTTTGACGTCTCAGTTCTCTGCTCTTGCAAATCGCCTTTCTATCTTCTCTCTTGCAGGCCATTCCCTTCTTTCTACGCCTCCCGCTCCTTCTTCTTCTTCCACAAATCTCTCATATATCTGCAATCCCAAACGAACTGCTTACTTCAATAATTTGCGCCCTCCTCATTCGCTATCAGAGGTACAATTTTGGTTGTTCAAAATCAAGTTCAACTCTACACACAACTACAGTCTAGGGCTAAAAGCAACAACTGCAACACAAATGAAAGAACAAATGCAGCATTTTGGCAGTTTGTTCCAAGAAATTAATATATGAAAGTACAATTTTTATTTTAACACTCAGGCATGGCATTGAAAATTGCAATCAAATTAAATCACTAATTCGAATCCCGCTTCATATTACCTAAAAGAGCACTACTTGCCTATTGCCCTCCACTTTTATGCCTACACATTATGGAGATACATTTTCTTTCTCTACACTCTCACATGTCAAGAAGAAGAGAGAAAAATATTAAAAAGAGAAGAGAGAGAAGTGGTGCTTCTCAATATTACTTTCCATGGTGCAAGAAGAGCTTACGTGAAGTGGAGAAAAAGGGCTTGTTGGGAAGGTCACCTGTGAGCCGAATGCTAGTGCCAGCGAAAAATGTGGAGAATGACGTGGTTGGCATCATAGATAGAAAACAGAGGACGGCAAGGTTTGTGGAAAGAGGAGTAGAAAGAAGAGAATGGCGGCAAGAGATAAAACAGAGAGACAGATTTGGAACTGGGGAGAACTGAGACATCAAGGGCATGGAAAGAAAGAAAGAAGAAGGTAAGCGGTACCCAAAAGGAAAAAAAAAGAAACAAAATAAAAAGAGTTGATCACTTTTTAGAGTTGTACTTAAGTGGTGGGCCCCACAAGAGATACGTATGATCAAAATACAAAATAAAAGGAGTGTCTAAGTCAAAAGAGAAGTGAGAAAAACGTGGCCCCTTGTAATACGCTACTCCTCTTTCGTCCATAAAAGAGTGTTCCGAATTTTATCCACCTAAAAAAAAGCAACAAATACGATGAATTACTTAACAATTGTTTTAAATTAAAGGGAAAAAGCCACACACAAAAAACCTCAAACTATGCATATTATGCCATATTTACCCTAAACGTTTTTTTTACATCAAAAATCCCAAAATATGCTCACTATGACACATTTACTCTAAATGCCCTGTTTGTAGGCAGCCGATCACCAATTCAGAGCATGGATCGGGAGATGTACCAGATGGACAGTTATGTGTAATTTGTCTAATGAGGAGGAGGAGATCCGCTTTTGTTCCATGCGGTCATCTTGTGTGTTGTCGGCGATGTGCAGCATCCGTGGAACAGGAGGTTTCACCAAAATGCCCTGTTTGTAGGCAGCCGATCACCAATTCAGTCCGGATCTATGATTCTCGAGTATAATATTGATTCTGTTTCCGTTAGTCAAAAGGTGGGAAGACGAAATTGTTTGCTTTTCTTCCTTGAAATGTTCTCGGAAAAAGAGCATGCCCATCCTTTAATGGAGAAACCACAGTGAACTGGTGACTATTTCTTGTGTAAACGAGTAACGATGCTTCGTAAGTCTCTCCTGCCGTGATTACGGTGACGAAGTCCCTTGTTAGATCTAGTTAGGAGTGTCGTTAAAGTTTTGAAGCGGAAAAAATGTTGCATGCTCTATCTAAAGGTGGATATGCAGTTGAGCTCCCGACACCAAGCATGCAAGTACGGCTCTTCGAGGTCGGGACTGATATGACATAAATCTAAGAAATTGAAAAGCAAAAAATTTCGAGAGTTTCAATAAACTTTATAGAGTTAAGCACAAAATTCAAGATTTTCTCGGAATATTTGGTCCGTCGGGTTTCTGTAAATTGAGCCTTGTTAATTCTTTGGACATTCACCAGAAGGCAAATCAGGAAGATGCAATTCATGCTACTGATTGGACATGAATGCTGATGGCAAGCATGCGTGAGGTTGATCTCATCCTCATCGCTTGGAGGACGTTGCACTTAGCTCCTCCTTTCTTCTTGTTTTCCTGCGCCTTCATTTCCGTTTTCAGGGGGGAAAATCATTAGACAGACGAATTGCCTTTTCTTTCTCTGCCTGTGAAGACTGAAGAGCCAAATCGATCGAGTAACTTGCAGGGCAATTTCTTCCAATTTTAGTTGTCTCGTCTTATGCCTCAACAGACTGCTTTAGTTCTTAACATTGCTAAAAGAATCAAATGATACGTTCAAACAAGCAATGTAAAGAAAGAATATTTGTCGCTTCAACTTTGGCAAAAGCGTAATCGGCATCAGTAACCACTCAAAAGCATGACCGATAGCTTTGTGACTGGCAAACTAGCTTTTGATGTTGCTGAACCCCTTACGCAAAAGTTTCCAGCTAACTTCCTTGGCTCTCCCATGGATAAACTCAGACTCTCGCTGTCAAGTATGAACAAATGGCTGAAAATGTCAGACTCTCACTGACAAGAAGACAAATCCATATGCATGGAAGTTGGCGTATCGCGGTTATCAGATTAAGAACGAGCTTTTACCATTCTGATCACAAGTAATGTTCACAATGAATATTCAATCCAAATCAAGATGATGTACAACAGTACCATAATCTAGCAGAAGAATCATGATTTGTCTCCCTCAGTCATTTTCAGTTACCAGATCAAGCGAAGCACCATCAAGATCTCCTCGAAGAGCGCTGGAGGAGAGCTGCGCATGATGGTCCTCCTCAGCCTTTTTCAACAAATCATCCTTTATACAATTTGGCTCCACTGCGAGCACATGGTAGGAGCCTGGCTCATCTTTCTCCTCTGCCAACTTACCTGCTAGCCGACTCTTAAGGCCTACTATCGAGGCAACAAGGAGAGAGCACAAGAAATCCCGGTGATCATCCAATGAGCCATCTCCAGGCATTTTGGGCCCTCTTCCTTCTCTTCTACCTCAGTGTTACTGACACTGTCACGGCTTACCACTTGGAAGACACTGACCTATGGCTGGGCTTACCAGGTTGGGATCGCTGGTAACATGCTCTATTTGTCCTCAAAAGCCAATGCTCTTGCGTCTGTTCGATTCTAGTGTTTATAGCAGGACTCGTTAAGTGTGGGGAAAGGGTTTGGGTTCTCAAGTCCTCTAACTCAAGAAAATTTATGAGGGCCTCACTCTCGCTCTTTGATCCATCCCGCCATTACAATGAATTCATCCAAGAAGAGACCCCAGGACAAATTAAACGAGATGCTTACTTCAGTTCTGAGGCAAGCAACGTCCGAGAAGCTTATTACTCGTTCATGTTCACATACTTTTCAGCTGATGTGATCGTGAACTTCTTGGAAATGCAAGATGGGTTCTCAATCATATGCAAAAAGTCGGGGGCAGCCGCCTTTAAGCCAGTTGAAACCAAGCTAGGCTTCTCGTACGACGTCTACTAAACAAAAGCAACTTCAGTTCACTCGAGTAAAGGTTTCTTTCTCCGTTTCGTTAGTTTCCTGTTCTCTGTTCTGCTTCAGTTTCCTTGACAATCCTTGCCGACAAGCGCAGCTACTATATCAAGTTCTCTTATTGTAAAAGTTGCCAAATTCAAAATATGATTATAGGTCCGATTTACCTTTCAAATTCATTCATTTCTATTCTCTTGTTTCCGTTCCAACTTCTCCCGTTTAATGAAAGACCAAGTAACAGAGAATATTTCTTTTCCAGTTTTGATACTTGTTTCATTTCAAGTAAAGTGACCCACCATATTTAGAATGGAAAAAGGAT